AATATAATCAAATTTGTCTGACAAGTTCAATTTATAGTAGGCATATTCTTGCATGGCTTGCTGCGCTTTTCTGCAGCAGAGCAAACCGATATTATAACTCACGTGACCTTACTACTAAAACTCGATTATAGAGTAATGCGTTTCAAATAACCAATCAAGAAAGAGGAGGTTGTTGCTGACCAGTCAGGATAAGACACAAGCTGACGGCTAGCCAATTAACACCTCGAGTTGAGGTCACGTGACCATATTTGGCGGTCACGTGGTGGTTTTAAGGTATTGTTATTTGTCATGTGAATTGTGCACATGGTGGAGGAATACGCCTTGACGGCCTTGTTAATGAGAACTTGTGGAGAATGATGAGGAAAATGTCGGGAAAAGTTGTCCGTTTTTAGGTGAAAACTGCTAAATGTCAACTTGATGGTTTCTCCTAAAATAAAAAAAGTGTAAGAAAAGCGTTTACCATTATCCATCTTGAACATGACAATCTTTTTGATATTACACAATGATAACCATCTGAGCTCGGCTTTACCTATTTAAGAGATAAGAAATTTGTGATCATTGACTTACTAGAGATAAGAGCTCATTGACACTCCCTTCGCATTATCCTTTCAAATTCCTCATTCAAATTCCGTGTAAAATTATAATTTAGTAGCTGTAGTCCACACATCATCTCATACAAGGAGATAATTCTATAATTGTTTCTTTCAAACTACCCTCTTTCGTCTACCGTCCAAACATTACAATATTAGTACATTTAGTAGTTGTCTTTAACTCTTACAGCTCACTACTGCTCGTTTGTAATCACATAAAAACTTCCATACAGCACAGGTTGCAGACTATAACCTGGCCTCCTGGTATGTTACTTACTTTATGTTAAGTTAGATGTATTAGATCTGGTTTATAGAGTTATGTAAGTAAGTTTATATAAGTTAAGTGGTGCAAGTAAGTAAGTTATGAATTATTTATATCATTTTCCGTGTCATTCCGTCCTAGTTTACAGTGTTTTATAAGCCAATGATGTGGGGTATGTCTCAGACTCACTACCATGTTGTAATTCTCAGGATTCCTTACTTGGGTAAATGACCAAATAATCTAAAAATAGATCTGTATCATAATAATATCTGGATACTATCATGGCCTGGAAAGTGGCCTTGGGAAATGGCTGGGAAATTGGGGTACCAAGCACAGAACAATAAATCCGTCTGAGTTTAGATAAGAATCATGACGTCACACATCACGTGTCAAGGTCACGTGACTGTAGTCACCAACGTTGCATGGTCCGTCTGTAGTTGTAGTTAGTGGCATGGTTACCGGCACAGTTAGCAGCAGTCTCACTTAGTAAACTTCTGTAGTTCCTTTAGACGGACTCTGCTGTCTTGGAACAAGTTACGCTCTAATACTTATAAGTTATAATAGCGCTATTAATATAGCCAATGACTTGACTATTTGTACCGGGTTGTTGTACGTCACATACCGGATTGTTGTACGTCAAGTGCCAGGAAAGTAAAGTAGTGTTGGTTATGTGCCTAACCTGGTGAGCACAGTGGTTATCCTTGATGTACGGCTAGTTAAACAAGGAATTGAAACTGTGGGGCTCCGTGCAGACCAACCTGCCTGTAGCTAAAGCTCTAATATACAAAAACAATACATTCAGCCAACATCATATCACGTGACTACCTCATAACATCACGTGACTGACTGGAGAACTTTGAGTTTTACAGTAGAATAGTGATGAGTCCGCCCCGTATAGCGTGATTTCCGGGGCCGGGAATAAATCCTGTGATGGTTCATGGTAATATGTCTTTAGCGCACGGAAAAAAACATAAATATAATTACCAAGAAACTAACCGCATTTTAAAAGTGAAATCTGAGTATTTTGGAATTTACAGTTCATGTTTAAGTATTGAGTATCACACTTTTAATGTGATGTTTACTGAATAATCATTGGGCACGATTGTAATATCATTATGTACATTCTTATCATAACTGTAACCACTGTAAAAACTCTTCTTCACAGTTCACTATTAGATGTTAGCCAAAACTAACTAGCTAGCCGGGTCAAGCAACTCTCTTACATTTTTGGAATGTGTATTTATAAGTTCACTAAAATAGCTAAAATAGCACTATTATTTGAATATGTGACATCTCTGACACGAATCACTTCCTGTGTTTATTTTTCTCTAAAATCGAGTTCACGCCGGATCACCGTTCACTTTCCCTTCACTGCCGAAATAGCTCAGTTGGGAGAGCGTTAGACTGAAGATCTAAATGTCCCTGGTTCGATCCCGGGTTTCGGCAAGCTTTTGTCCCAATGAGCAATTTTGAGGTCACATAATGTGTTTGGGCTTGGAGTGCAGTGGGAGATGCTTTTCACGATGGTCGAATTGGAAAATATTATTGAGATTGATAATAATAACTGGATCAGTTTACAAATAAATGTGCAAAAGGATACGGCACCGGGGATTCCCAGGCGGTCACCCATCCAAGTACTAACCCGGCCTGCAGTTGCTTAACTTCCCAGATCGAACGAGATGGGGTGTATTCAACCGAGTATGGCCGTATCCGAAATTTAAGAAATTTAAGCCAATATATCTAACTCTTCAATAGGTTTTAGAATTAGTTTTCTGATCTCAGTTGAACAGTGAAATCAAACTGTCTGCTTACATATCTGTCTAAATATAATGTATAATTCTAGTTAGCGGGTCTACAGTCAGAGATATCATCTCCAGGTATTATCCGGATATTTATATTATCCAGACCTCCAGATATTATCTCCAGACCTTGTCTATTTCAGTCTGATGAAAATACCGTGATTTAAATAACAATAAGGTTTGGAATGCTCTAGATGCTTTAAGTATGTCGAGTATGATTGTACGACAATTGTGTCTGCAACCTCGACCTGCTCAAATGAACGACCCTAACTAGCGTAACTACCGCAAACCCTCATAATTTCACACTTAAACTCCGAGAACTGTGGTTATGAAACTAAGTTACAACCTCTAGTTCCCCCTTCATCCGCACTCCCGGCCCCTCTCCACTGGTCATCTCCACCAATTAACCCAATTAAGTAATTAAATCCGCCAACAGGTCTGAGAGAGGTTCGTTTAGTTGGGTAATGAGGGGTTGTAAAAGTTTGTAAGACTGGATGTGTACTACAGTAGTAGTAGTAGCGTGCTTCAGTGCAGTAAATCAGGGATTTTAGACGAGGGTTACACCATATAGTATTATCGTGTTCCGATCTGAAGTGGAATGACATTTTACAGTTTACAGCACACTGTAGTATGTTGAGTCACAAAGTAGTATGCTGAGTCTGTGTGTCCACATCAGACCTAGGAAAATTAGAAAGTAGGATCAGACAATAGATAAGTTATTGTATAAAATATAGTATACAATATATATATAGTATAATATATAGTTTATTATACAGTATACACAATGTCCCTCTCGGAACTAAAGAGTAATGATCCAGTTTACTCCATCTCTCAATCTGTCTTTACAATAGGTTATATAGACTTTACCATATCACGTGACTCCCTTATAAGGTCATGTGACCTTAAGTAGACGTAGTGGGTTGCACTGTAAGAGCACTCCACGGGGAATGTTCAATGTAGAGGGTTTACAATCTCAATCTTTGTGGTGTTTGACAAGATAAATACCTGACAATTGATACAAAACGGCTCTAAATTGATCCAAAGCCGTCGTGGTGAGCAATTAGTTCGGATATAGTGCAATTAGTTCTGATATAGTGTAGCAGGTGTTGCTAAAATGAGGGGGGCTAATAAATTGGGGGCAATCGTTTAAACGGAAAACTCGGAGGTTTGGGGGCTTTTAGTTGGAAGGGGTGAGACGTGACAGTTTAGAAAGGGGAGAAGTTTTGGTGTTCATTTTCTAGTACATTCGTCAATTTATAACATTATGATGTTCTATAAATTATGATGTCGATGTGAGTTTTATGTGTCAAGTGTTTAGCTTATAAAAGGAGTTGTGTTATCCTTAGTACTAAGTAAGTAGAAATATTCGGCTTAACAGCAAAAAAACCATCAGTCCTGATCCCAGATCTCTGGAGACTCATGCAAAGTGTTTTGAAACTGGATTCCCATAAATTCTAGGAATGCAGTGCTCCATGCTTAAAACACCGGTATTTAGTCAGATTATAAGTCAGGTGGGTCATGCTGGAGAACTTGCGAAATGTGCAAGCACTTCAGTGCACATGATGTTCATGTGTATTATCTTACATTTAGTTATGTGTTTGTAACATGATTTACTTTATGTATCGGTATCCTTTCATGATCATAATATTAGATAATATATAGGTTCAGCGTGGTATAGAATGAAATATAAAATTTGGTGATAAATAACTCAATTTCAGAATCAAAACTTCTAAAATTAACCATTAAAATCATTATCCAATGACCGATCAAAAGAATTCAAATGGCAACTTGAAATCATTCAAAGTTGTCACCTAAAATTCCTACAACTATCACCCATCAAGCTAACGGTTAACACTCTAACATACCAATACCGTCACTAGTGCCAGTTTTCACTTCCCCGAGTAAGAGTATTCCCTGTGGAGTTGTTATCTTTCAACAGCACTCTCAGCTGTATATACTCCGTATATAATAACAGCATATAACAGTATTGTGGCTTATTTTAACACTATATAAACCTCCCTCCTTGCTTATGACGTACTGTAACGTTATAAATACTTTGAATTCTGTCATAAATGTTATCAATCGTTACGATACATATCGGAAAGTAATGTCATACTGAAATTTAAAATGTACTTCAATCACTCAATCTCTGTATCAATTAAAATATCAATATTCCAATTCCTCCGATTTATTTCCCAATAATTTTCGAATTCCTTAACTAAAATGTTTTTCAATCACTCAATCTTAAGCTCTGTTTCAACTAAAATGTCACCTTCTAGATTCCGTAAAATTCGTCCGATTCACTAATGTTAAAGTTTCGAATTCCTTAACTAAATTCCTCATTTCCAGGTTCGAGTGCCTCTTTTAACGGTCGAGGCTACCTAGCGTTCAACACAGGAACAGGAACATCAACAAGTACTTACGACTTGGAAGCGAGCTATGAAGAGAGAATACTTATGTACATTAGACCTACTGATACTGACACTAGTTCGGTGTTATTCCAGATGTCGTGAGTAGATTTTTACTTACCCGGTAACTTACCCGGTTACTTACAAATTATTTTTGAAAGTTTTAAAAAGAGGCCCAGTAGCCATGAAATGTTAAATCTTGATGCTTTAAAAAAAACAAACAGGGTTTAACATACAAGATTTTCGCAAAGAAAATGAGAGTTAAAAAATAAAATTTGTAGAATGCGAGAAATTAAAACCCCAAAACACAGATCATTGGTAAAAAAGAATCCTAGGTGAGGTATTCGTAGGATTGTTCTGGCTATTAAGCTGGGTTTTACTTCTTCTTTTGGTTCAGGGATTGTTCACATGTCACGCACAAAATCTAGCTTCAGTAATGTGTGAACGGTTCCTTATTGCTTTTTATATTTTGCTTTACCTTTTGGTAAATTGTAATGATGTTATTGCACGGAGTTCTTGACGTTTTCTTGGTAGTTTGGCTATTGTGGTTTCATATCAATACCAGATGAGTTTTAGACTTGCGTGAATAAATGATGTAATTATTACGAATAAAGTTGGTTAATTGCTCACATCTTTTCAGTTCTCAATCCGATGACCAGACATATTATGTAAAGCTGTACAAGAAAGTGATAACGGTGTACGCTTGGCTTGAAGCTGGAGGAACCATGGCTAAGGTAATTCATTTGCGGTATTTGAGTTGTTTCTGGCTAATGATGTTGGCGGTCAGTGGTCAGCAGCAATGTACTACTTCTTTCCTTTCGCATGCCAAAAGTTGGGACATGGTTGTTGAAATTGTAGTGTCTGACGTAACGCGCGGTGACACTTTTCATATTGATTTAATGAAATATGCGTGCCTTTTTGTTTTTAAATGCGCGCGCGCGCCATTCTCTTTGAATTGCTTGTGCCTATGTAATTGTCAGATCTTGTGTATTATCATATTATTATGTAATACGTCATGTTATGATAGGTTCGAAAGTTTTTCAAACATTCGTGCTGGCGCTTGGCGGCCAAGTGCTGATTGAAATAAATCTATAAATGAACATTCAGTTGGCTGTTGGTCACTCCATTGAGCTCTCCAGCAATTACGCTTTAAATTGCCTCTCCACCCCATTCCCAAAGTCTGTTTTTGTTGATCTAAGGTAAATTGTATTTACTCCAAAACTTAGGGGGAGTGGATAATTTAGTTGGTTCCTTCTGATTTTTAAAATTTGGATAATTTTCCGAACATGGGAATACCCCAGCGGCCAGCTGCGACTCGAATTTCCAAAAGATTAGCTTCATTTTACTGGAGATCCAGTACACTACAGAGTTAGAAACGGAAACCTCTTCAGGCTAACACCTGGATAGACCTAGCTGACGGACAAAGCCACAAGATCGCCATTGAGAGACGACTTAACAAAATATTCTTGAGAGTTGATGATGGTCCAGAGCATTATAGTCAGCTTCCTGGTGAGTCACTGAAAAGCTGTAACCGTTTATTTATCGTGAAAACGCTTTTATGATTCGTGCTGGTAAAATTCACGATTCATATTAATTTAGGAATTTTGTTCTCTTTCTTGATTGATTTTTCCTAAAAACTTCTACAACAAAGATTTCTAAAATTGATCTACAGATGTTGAAGCATGACACCTGTAACGTGTATTCTGAAATGTATTCTTGTAAATGAACCAGATCAATCAGAAACATGTATTCCTCTTTCCAAGCGATAACAATCTGCTTCATATCAGGTCTGACTGACAAGTTTATGCTGCCGATGAGTGTGGAGGTCGGAAAGAGTTTTAAGGGTTGTATCTCCAGTTTGGACATCATCACTAAAAACGCCCAAGGTAAAACATAATGACTCTAGATTTCAAACCGTATTATTTACTGACATATTTCCAAGTTTACCTTTGCTTCCGTCAATGAATAAGCTCTTTCCTACCAAAATAATGTTATTAAAACTATATTATAACCCAGGAAAAAGGCGCCACCACGAGCCGTTAGATAAACTTGCGGGTGTAAGCACAGACGAACAAATCTCAATATCCACCGAGGGGAGCTTTGATGATGGATTTACAACGGGATGCATGCTCACTCCCAAGTACGTGTTATTTGCTAAACTTGTCCATTTTTAACTTAATAACTACAAAAACGCAAAACGTGACCAATTTCAATAATACCAACTAATTCATTCATTGATTGAATAAATCGAAATCTTGACAAATCATAACGCCGCTTCCTTTACCAGGTTCTCAGAAATAATACTGGACACGATGGACCCGACTACCCCGACCCCTACTGAGCCACCAACTAATAACGGAACCGTATCGGAGGTCTCCGGCAAAAGTAACAAAGATCTATTCATCATACTGGTAAGTGCTATGTAACTATGTTAATATTTCCTTTGTATCCTTATCGCCCTGCGGACCACATAAAGGCTAGCTTATATAACATCTGAACCGAAAGTAAGAGTACTTTCTTGACGAAAGTCAAATACAAGGAAATACTTTCGAGAAAACCATAGTATATAGCTAACTTTAGCAGGGTAGTGTTGGTTATGTGCCTAACCTGGTGAGCACAGTGGATATCCTTGCTGTACGGCTAGTTAAACAAGGAATTGAAACTGTGGGGCTCCGTGCAGACCAACCTACCTGTGGCTAAAGCTCTAATATACAAAAAACAATACATCTTAACTTTGCACTTTTTGTTGATAAGATAATATTATAATAGAGATATTATACTATTATAGTACCTTACTCGGGAATATTATAGCGGGTTAATTTATGACTGGGAAAATTAATGACCGGGAAAAATATGGCGGAATGTTCCAAAACCCACCAAGCATCAAAATGTATTACTATTAGTTTACCTTACTCGGGAACATTATAGCGGGTTAATTTATGACTGGGAAAATTAATTAAATATGGCGGAATTTTCCAAAACCCACCACTTTATCCCAGTCATAATATTCCCGAGTAAGGTATAGATCGATATCCTAAATTATAAGGATTCGTATTTATAGCTTACTTCACTTGTCATGACATGTCTCTTAAAGTTAAACAACTAAATTAGATTTCGAGGTCACCACTGCCACCTGCGACTATAATAGTTCCGGGATATTTCCATACTCGAAACATTCAGTTAATACTAATACCGAATCATTCAGCCATGTAATTGGAATTAGCCTCACCTCCTTCCTCCATGAAACTCAACATTTCTTCAACATTTGTTCTCGTTAAGGAGTTAAGGACATATTATATAATATTTGAAACATCCGTCCATATTCTCCGTTATCGATCTGCCAGAACATGTGGATAAATTTGTCTTAACTCATATCTACTTCCCTTGAACAGGACATTCCTTAAACATGATAAACTATGTTAAACATAACATAACAATTATGTTTCATCTTCCTATAACTATTACTGGAGCTCTCGTGTAACTAAAATATCACGTACCTGTGTAATAATTAGATAAACACTCTCCATCCCTCCCGCTTTAATACCTCACGGCTAAATGCCTTTGTGTTTGGAGTGTAACGGTCTCTTACCATGCGTTGTTAACAGTCATTGTTAGCTCATGTTACCAGATGTTGCTCATCATCTCTACTTTCTTCGTTTTAAGTCTCTTGTTTAGACTGTCAGAACGCAATTGTCATGTATCTGAATCGAGAACTTTTCTGAGTATCGGGTTCTTTTTGTCTTGTTTACTTCGTGAATTGGGCACTTTCAGTTCCGTTTATCCTAATCGTTTGTGATATTTTCAATGAACTAACTTTCCTTACATTTTTCTAGCTGTTTTGGTTAATATTCCGGGAATCATGTTCGGAGCGATAGTGGTAAGTGAGAAGTGAGAAGGAGAGAGTGTGAGTGTGAGTGTGTGGTCGTTCACATATTACGCAATTACTGAGGGGGAATGAGGGGTTTCTAATGATTACGCTAGTAATCACAAAACCCATGGCCATGTGATTACGTTGGGGGGGGGGGGGGTTAAAATGAGCTAAAAAGCTGAAAATAAATACGTAATAATAATATGTGAACGACCCCTGAGTGTGAGTGTGTAAAGTGAATCATCATTACAGTATGTCAAGTTTGAAGTTTATAAATATATCTGCATTTTCCTATCCCTTTTTATTAAGGAAGCGAATAATCTAACAGCGATCAGTACAGCAACATTTTAATGAACGGGATTGCGTGGCATTACACATACATCAATATGATTTACAAAATATAGAGACCTAAGTTGTTTGAAATAATATTTTACTTCGCTAGTACTACTTACAATTCAACTCACAACTCGAATATCGTAAGCTGGAATGAAGTTTAAACATCTAATGCAGCACATGACCTTAATCTTGCGATAAACTAAGCACTGCTAATTAATTATTATTTAATCGCTAATTAGTTGGTAATTAATTAACACTAACCTCCTCACTCCGCAGGCGTGTGTAATCGGTGCAGCCCTCATAATCCTGCTTGTCGTCCTGGTAATAGTATGCAGATCGCGCAACAAGGACAAGGGTGTGTACAAGTTGAAGGAAACGAAACAGTTCGACTGGGAATACGGTAACCTGCCACCAACCTCCAAAAACTCTTTAGTGCGCGAAAGTGAACATGGAGTGTGAGACTGTTAATGAGACGATAGTTAATTATTAATTAATTAGTTAATTGAATGATTAGATGATTGGTCAATGAGATGATCGGTTGATGTGTAAGAAACGAGGAATGTGACGTGTCAGAATTCTCCAGTGAAATGTGAGTGATGTGTGACGTCATCAAGTGTGACGTCATAATTTGACGTCACCACGTGGTTAGACCTCGTGTACTCTTTGTGTATAAACGAAATATTTTTATGTAATTTATAAAGTTGACTTTTTATATATGGAGCGCTGAGTCTCGCTGCGGTTCAAGAATTTTAGAATGAGAAATTTGGTTATGCACGAATTTTGGGGTAATTTGTTGAAGCGAAAATAATATTTTCTTGTGTTTGACTGAGATCACGGAATAAGATATTTTATTGTGTTTGACTTATCACGAGAGATTGCATCGAATTAGTTTGCTGTTAACGGGTTGACTTACAAATATATTGACGTTTATTGAATTTTTTTATGTTTTGACAATTAGAATTGATGAAATCTGATGTTAATTGACGATGGATGTTCGTTCGAGATAAAATGTTTTAATTTGAGTTATGAGATCGTTGCATTAACAGAAATTCGATTATTTTATTAGACGACCACCTAAACATGGAATCATTTTATTTACAATTTAGCTTCTTTTAGATTAGAGTCATGGTTAAAATAATAATACATTTTTATTTTAGAATCGACAATTTACGTTTTACCCGATAAGTTAAACAAATACCTAATCATCTTTAAACGTTTTTTTATTTCAATATTGATATCGTTGCAAACTGTCAGCCGTTTTAATTAATTGTTGCTAGCAATTTAGCGGACGTATAATATTAATTCCAGATTATTTGAATGTGAGATATGTTTTATGACATTATGTCACGTGATGCCCATATAAGGAGATAATATGTTTTGTTAACCCATCAAGTTGTCATGAATACCCGAAATAAGAGTGAAACTCTGCTTGAAAATAGCCCCTTTTCTTGTTACCAGGAAATGTTTGCTTCTCGGGAATCAGAAACATTTTTATTGTGAATCCTAAGACGATGAAATACCGACGATAATTTTAGTTCCTCGTTTTTGTTCGGTTTACTTGTTTTTCGTTACCTGACTTCAGAGCGAAAATGCTTAACTTCTGTTGCAATTTACCATTATTATCAGGATTACTTTCAATGTAAAATTTTAGATATCGCCAAATAATAATTACATTTCTGACCTTATGAAAGATAATGACTGCAATTCTACCTCCGCATTTTTAGTCTTAATGATGATAATTTCTTGTCGCTGACTTGAGTTTTAATTAATAAATATCTAATGTAACATATCTCGTTTATCTTGTCTAAATCTCTAAACGATCGAATTAAATCGCTACACCTTCACAATACATCAAAATGCAAAGGTGTAGTGTAAAATAGTGTAAAAAATTTCGTGTAAAAATAGATATTGTAAAAATAGATAGTGTAAAATGATGTAACTTATTATTTATATCAATTTCCTAATATAATATATGTTAACTATGAGGAAAAAATACCGGTGGAAATTATTTCGTAGGCCCTCAAATGGCTCCTGCAGATCCAGTCTTAACCTTAATTTTAAATTGGACATAACTTTCTTGCTGAAGTAGCTCTGAAACGTCGGATTAGAGCCTGTAAGTGTAAGACTGGCCTCCAGCTCGCCATTTTTGAGATTCAAGCAAATCGATGAAGTTCAAAGGGTGCAGGATGTTCAGCTCGACAAAATACCGATAGAATTTATTTCATAGGTGTAAAACCTAAAAGTTGGGTTTAAAAAGGGCCGACTGTTGGTATTATCATACAATCATCATCAAGTCCTACACAATGATAAAGGCTCCATCTAATCAAGCTACATGATTAGAACCTGATTACACCTGGTTAGCTTTAGTAAGCATACTTACGGCCGGAGCCGACGGCTTGTATTCAGAGTGGAAGAGTGGTGACGTAACATAATGTCACAAGGTTCGGTAAGTCCCCACCAAATAGGTGACACTTTATCTCAAAGAGAGCTTATTGAGTTAGATTAATTTCAATCACAGTTTTAGGGTCCGGTCACGGTATTATAACCGGATGTACTTTAGATTAGTAATTGTTATTCCCTAATTCATGACTCAAGTTTGAAGAACTTTTGGTAGAGGCTAACTGTACTTATATTAATTTTAGCGGTCTATTACTAATTAACAAATGATAGAGTCACATAATTAGGCCGGCAGAATATCCGGTATTGGGTTTAAAAGAGTAATATATTGTAACTATAGTCTACCTGGGACACACCCCCATGTATGCATGCCTTACTTTATAAACCTTAACTTAACTTACTTTTAGTTATTTAGTCATATTTTACTTTTATGGACATGTTACTTGCCTTCACGGGGAAATGAATACAACAATGTTTGTATAGAAATAAACTGCCTTTAACTGGGCCTAGCTTCCCGAGGTATACGATATGGTTACGTTTTTTAACTTAACCTCTTGTTTGGGTAACTTAACTTAACAAACGTAACTTTGGTGTGGCCGGACTCCAAGAATATATTAAAAGTAAACACGGGTTAGTTGTAAACGTATGTTGTAAATGTAAACGGTGTATTATTTTTAGTTAAAAATATTTTCAAGCAGGACGACTCAGTCGTATGAACGACAGGGCCTTTACTTCCTGGACGTCTACCAGGGCCCTGCCAAGCCGGCGGTTGACCGTTAGTCCTTCTTCTGCCACTCGGAGCCCGGTGCTGTCTACCTCGACGAATTCTTCTATTTGGACTACTTCCGGGGCCCTCATGATCTTGAGAAAGACCTTAACCGTCTCTAATAGTACGGCTACCGGGCCGTCAAGCGTCATCATCCTGACTGGCCAGGCAGGTCTTCGTATGGCCTCTATTGTTACTTTTGCCCCTTTGGACTCGAGAATTCTCTTGAGGGACCGTGGTGGTTCCTCGCCTGGGGCCACAGGCCGTTGTCCTGACCCTAGTATTACTTCCAGAAACACCGAGGACAGATAGAAATCTATCTTTCTGCACGACATGCTAAGGTCGCTGAGTACCTCCTCTTCGGACGTGAAGGAAGGAAAGGTGTTACTGTTGGTGTTCATTGCTAAGTGGTTAAGGTTTTAGGTGGGATATGGAAACAGGCGATAAAAATTTAAATTTATTGATTATAATAATTAACATGTTACAATGGTGTGTTACTGTTAGGTATGTTGTGATGTGACAGTTAAACTTACAAGTGTGTGTTTGTCATGGATAACAACGGTGTGGGGTGGCGAGTCATCACATCGACTGCACTGGCACTAGGCACTAGTTGCTCTTGGGAGTAGATCAAGCCGACGGATCCCCGATCCGATTTTAAAGAGAATTATCGCATCCATTTAGGGACACTCGCACCTTCATCCTGTACCCAACAATCTGCATGTAGAATTGCCGCTCACCCATTGGCTCGCTGAAATACAGGGAGAGGGGGCGCTGATTTCCAGCATCCCTTGGTGCTCCCAACTGTGCAGCCAGTTCTGCACAATCGATGCAACCACTCGCACACATAATATGTAATTGTGATGTTAAAATAGTATGTGCCTCTTAACACCTGTATTTAACATGCGCTACTTCACATGGGCCTTTAACACATGACACTAAACATGTGTCACTTTCTCAAGGATAACACCACTGCGCACTGAAAAATGTCAAAGCTTATCAACAATTATGAATTAGTTTTACGGCAAGTGACGTTGTTCAAAATAATACTGCAGTACTAGTTATCAAAACTTTGCAGCAGTACAAGGGGACATTATGAATTTCTAATAAAGTTCTAATGAGTTTCTAATGAGTTTCTAATAAAGTTAGGTAAGAGATAATGGGGCCGGCAACTATCTCTATAGGTGTTATAATTCATCAATCCGTATTGTTAAGAATTAATCAATGATCACTTAATTTAAGGGATTGAATTTGCAGTTTTACACTCTAATAATTTTAGTTTAATCATCAAGGGTGCTGTTAGGTAGGGGTATAGTGAATTGAAGGTGAACAGGTTTGCAAATATCTCACGGCCTGTATTAGTATCTTATAAAATATTTGTACTGAGAGACGGGTAGTCGGTCAATTAATTTAAAGTCTTTATCAATTTAGAAAATATTAAGAGTCAGCGTAACAAGCTGAAAGTTGTAAGGTTTGTATGATTGAAATGTCTCACGGCGTGAAGCTGTAGTTAGTATTTTAAGCCGTTGTAAATTAGTAGTTATTTGGAATTGTGACGTTCCCGGTGGGAAAAGTAGTGGCTTGAAGATCGTTAAAGTTTCAAATTTATTAGAACTTATAGTTAAAAGAATACTTACAATTATTTTAACAGCATTGATTTTTGATTATTGTGTTGACGAACTAGCCGAGGTGTTACAAGAGTGCCATGAGAATCAACTCCCCCTTCAACTCCCCAAAGACCTGTCAACCAGCAGTCTACAAAAAGGGGAGCTCGCCTGCTGCTCGCCGCCGTCCGCCTTTAGCCTTTCTGCCTTTTCTCTTATCTCCGGCCCGGGGTCATGTCATGCTGTGCCCGTTCTCTCTCCACTCGTTACTCATTTTCATTATAGGTTTGTAGTTTTAAAGTTAAGTTTTGATCATATTGTTATCGTTGCTTCAAATCGTATCAAAATGTTGATGTTAAGATTAGTTCATACTTAGGTTAAGTTCTGTTGCAGAATGCATAATAATAATATGCGGTTAAGATATTTATACATAATAGTAATACCTCACCAGATTGTCTCGCCGCACTACTTGTTCCCGATCGATCCTTCCAGCAACTAGTCTAAGCTATGGGGATCTATTCCCGAGGTATTGTTCTTACATTAAATATTAATCAAATGTTCATAAAAATAGCACTTTTCCACTTGTTAACGTTGACGATTGTAGTATCATAATTATTTCCTGTGTACTAATTATTAGTTCTAATAGTTATTAATCTCCAGGCAATATGATGGTGATACCCACCCTACTTGCTCTGCCTGTCCTCACCTAAGCTCCACCAGTCGTATTGCTTCGTAAGTTTATTACGTCTTCATTAAGAGGTTCCTACGAAAGATTTTCCCTTATTTTAACTTAATTAGTCTGATTATTGTCACTACTTGAACGCTCCGTACTTATAATTAATATTATCTTACTCCAGATTGATTACCCCCTCCTTCCTCGAGAACCGTTCGTCATTACAAGATGGTTCAGTCCTAGTTGACATTCCACTATATGAAAAGACCAGATCGCCACGTTATATTCTTATTCCTTGGTTAGTAAATTATACTTATAGTGATTATAGTGATTCAGTTCGTAAGTTATCTAGAAGTAGGAAATTAATACCTATATTCCGTATAATTAGTGTGGTCCATTAACTTTGTATTGATATATAATCTCCTCAGAGAGAGAGAGAGAGAACCGGAACAGCGACCTCGTGAATCATCCTATTTAATCGCTTCACCCTCGCCACATTCGCTACTACTTCAATTATTGGGGTAAATGGACATTAAGACTAAGTTATGAGATATGAGAGTTAAATTAATATTGTAATCCTATTTAACCCAATTATTTTACAACCCTTATTTCCTTGTTTTAATTGGTCATCTTCCAGATACAAATTCACCTAAAATTCTGAATCCATAATTACAATAGAAATTACTGTCCTAAAATTGTATCTGTACAAAGAGAGTTTGGGTTTGACCTGTGCCCTGAGTGAGTCTCAAACCGGGAGGTATTCCATAATATCGGAACCTGAATTTCCATACTCTAGTTAAAAGGAGCCAATTATACGTAGTTAAATTAATACCACCACAATTTAATGAAATATAATAAATAAATAATCTCTAGAAGTCATGGAAAATTGGAGCATTAAATAGGCCGTTAAGTAAGTTGTCGTGCTGAAACCCGAGTACGCCTCTTAACAATGTAGCCCTAATGCAGCTCTCTCTGTACAAAATTTTCTAGCAAAATTTTCAAAAAATCTGGAAGAGACACCAAACCTTAGTTTGCTTGTTTTGTTAGTGCACCGTTAGTGCAATTTGTTTATTTACATTGATATTAGTTGTTGCAGCCATCGCCATAAAATGATGAAGTCACAGCAGAGAAGTAGGTTGAAGAGATAATTGTTTTGTGTAGAAGTTAAAAGTAATTATGAGATATCGTGGGTAAGTAATTGTGATGATATATACGGCCGTATAATTAGGTAAAGATGGGAATGATACGAGAGATGTATGATGTTACGAGATAATAAGATTATGTTATAATGAGATGTTGAAATGTGAGACAATTATATTATGGGGAGATATATTAAACTGCAGTATAAATTATTAGCCGGCTAAGGGATACGGGGTTCAGAAGTTGTGAAGTTTATTGGGAGGAGGTGCTATAATGGTTGTTGACAAGGTGTTAGTTTTAATAAGTAGATGGGCTTCTTATCTGTTATTTGAGTGTTGTGATACCGCCAAAAGCGCGCTTGGTGGTTAGAAACACTTCGGATTCAGTACGACCCTTCGAACTTTGAAACTAAGATTGGCAACATGATTTAGCGTAATAGGGTATGCGGACGTGAAGAAGAGAAGATATGATACAGAGGGAGATTTGATAAAGGGGTTGTTGTATAAAAATAAAGATGATTTAGCGTAATAGGGTATGCGGACGTGAAGAAAAGAAGATATTTGAAGTATGATGATACAGAGGGAGATTTGATAAAGGGTTTGTTGTTTAAAAATAAAGATGATTTAGTGTAATAGGGTATGCGGACGTGAAGAAAAGAAGATATTTGAAGTATGATGATACAGAAGGAGATTTGATAAAGGGTTTGTGTTTAAAAATAAAGATGATTTAGTGTAATATGGTATGCGGACGTGAAGAAGAGAAGATATTTGAAATGAGATGAGACAGAAATGAGTTGATAAAGAAGTAATGTTGTTAAAGTTGGCATGGTGGAATCATGCTGGGAAATAAGAGATACAAATTTTGTTGAGTTTGGGGTAATTTACGTTGTGAAATATGGCTGGTGGCTGCACATTAATTACCGCATAAGGCATTCAGGAAAACTTTTGATTATGAATAAACTGAAATTAATTCGGCCTAAACAATTTTCTAGAACTTAAAGAACATCACTTAATAGCTTAATTATAACCGTAACACACATTTATATTCTCTTGCCACATCGTTTGCTACTCGTTTGATGATTTGAATTTTTATTAAACCTTGATTAATAGTTATATTTTGTAAATAATAAGTCGCTAACGTAATTAAACTATTAGTATTAGGATTTTATTTTCCTCTTAAACTTCGAGTATGTGTTATTCGCTGTCTTTGCGTGCCTTAAAACAGTTAACCTCCGTAATGTCGTCTAATCATTGATAATACCCCAGCAAGTACACAAGTAGACCCTGGAACTTATAACCCTGCTGAGAATAGTGACCAAATTGTGTCGGAAAATTACGGACAGTACTATGACAATAAAGATAACTACGACCAGAATAGGCACTACAATTACAACGACTTTACTTTTAAATATTAACTTATGGTAATTCAAATGTTTGTTTGTACGATTATATTTAATTTTGTTGGCTGTGCGCGAGAAATTCGATAATTCTTTAAATTAATGATTTTTTACTATAAGAACGGGCATACCTTATTACCAATAGTTCTTTTGAAATTTTTTTTTTTAAAGAAAAAAAAGAAGGTTGTAGATTTATCATTTCTTTAATTATAGATAGTTTTACTATGACGTGGTCGTCATTAATTTTCGATCGGGGAGATGTTAGGTAGGGGTATAGTGAATTGAAGGTGAACAGGTTTGCAAATATCTCACGGCCTGTATTAGTATCTTATAAAATATTTGTACTGAGAGACGGGTAGTCGGTCAATTAATTTAAAGTCTTTATCAATTTAGAAAATATTAAGAGTCAGCGTAACAAGCTGAAAGTTGTAAGGTTTGTATGATTGAAATGTCTCACGGCGTGAAGCTGTAGTTAGTATTTTAAGCCGTTGTAAATTAGTAGTTATTTGGAATTGTGACGTTCCCGGTGGGAAAAGTAGTGGCTTGAAGATCGTTAAAGTTTCAAATTTATTAGAACTTATAGTTAAAAGAATACTTACAATTATTTTAACAGCATTGATTTTTGATTATTGTGTTGACGAACTAGCCGAGGTGTTACAAGAGTGCCATGAGAATCAACTCCCCCTTCAACTCCCCAAAGACCTGTCAACCAGCAGTCTACAAAAAGGGGAGCTCGCCTGCTGCTCGCCGCCGTCCGCCTTTAGCCTTTCTGCCTTTTCTCTTATCTCCGGCCCGGGGTCATGTCATGCTGTGCCCGTTCTCTCTCCACTCGTTACTCATTTTCATTATAGGTTTGTAGTTTTAAAGTTAAGTTTTGATCATATTGTTATCGTTGCTTCAAATCGTATCAAAATGTTGATGTTAAGATTAGTTCATACTTAGGTTAAGTTCTGTTGCAGAATGCATAATAATAATATGCGGTTAAGATATTTATACATAATAGTAATACCTCACCAGATTGTCTCGCCGCACTACTTGTTCCCGATCGATCCTTCCAGCAACTAGTCTAAGCTATGGGGATCTATTCCCGAGGTATTGTTCTTACATTAAATATTAATCAAATGTTCATAAAAATAGCACTTTTCCACTTGTTAACGTTGACGATTGTAGTATCATAATTATTTCCTGTGTACTAATTATTAGTTCTAATAGTTATTAATCTCCAGGCAATATGATGGTGATACCCACCCTACTTGCTCTGCCTGTCCTCACCTAAGCTCCACCAGTCGTATTGCTTCGTAAGTTTATTACGTCTTCATTAAGAGGTTCCTACGAAAGATTTTCTCTTATTTTAACTTAATTAGTCTGATTATTGTCACTACTTGAACGCTCCGTACTTATAATTAATATTATCTTACTCCAGATTGATTACCCCCTCCTTCCTCGAGAACCGTTCGTCATTACAAGATGGTTCAGTCCTAGTTGACATTCCACTATATGAAAAGACCAGATCGCCACGTTATATTCTTATTCCTTGGTTAGTAAATTATACTTATAGTGATTATAGTGATTCAGTTCGTAAGTTATCTAGAAGTAGGAAATTAATACCTATATTCCGTATAATTAGTGTGGTCCATTAACTTTGTATTGATATATAATCTCCTCAGAGAGAGAGAGAGAGAACCGGAACAGCGACCTCGTGAATCATCCTATTTAATCGCTTCACCCTCGCCACATTCGCTACTACTTCAATTATTGGGGTAAATGGACATTAAGACTAAGTTATGAGATATGAGAGTTAAATTAATATTGTAATCCTATTTAACCCAATTATTTTACAACCCTTATTTCCTTGTTTTAATTGGTCATCTTCCAGATACAAATTCACCTAAAATTCTGAATCCATAATTACAATAGAAATTACTGTCCTAAAATTGTATCTGTACAAAGAGAGTTTGGGTTTGACCTGTGCCCTGAGTGAGTCTCAAACCGGGAGGTATTCCATAATATCGGAACCTGAATTTCCATACTCTAGTTAAAAGGAGCCAATTATACGTAGTTAAATTAATACCACCACAATTTAATGAAATATAATAAATAAATAATCTCTAGAAGTCATGGAAAATTGGAGCATTAAATAGGCCGTTAAGTAAGTTGTCGTGCTGAAACCCGAGTACGCCTCTTAACAATGTAGCCCTAATGCAGCTCTCTCTGTACAAAATTTTCTAGCAAAATTTTCAAAAAATCTGGAAGAGACACCAAACCTTAGTTTGCTTGTTTTGTTAGTGCACCGTTAGTGCAATTTGTTTATTTACATTGATATTAGTTGTTGCAGCCATCGCCATAAAATGATGAAGTCACAGCAGAGAAGTAGGTTGAAGAGATAATTGTTTTGTGTAGAAGTTAAAAGTAATTATGAGATATCGTGGGTAAGTAATTGTGATGATATATACGGCCGTATAATTAGGTAAAGATGGGAATGATACGAGAGATGTATGATGTTACGAGATAATAAGATTATGTTATAATGAGATGTTGAAATGTGAGACAATTATATTATGGGGAGATATATTAAACTGCAGTATAAATTATTAGCCGGCTAAGGGATACGGGGTTCAGAAGTTGTGAAGTTTATTGGGAGGAGGTGCTATAATGGTTGTTGACAAGGTGTTAGTTTTAATAAGTAGATGGGCTTCTTATCTGTTATTTGAGTGTTGTGATACCGCCAAAAGCGCGCTTGGTGGTTAGAAACACTTCGGATTCAGTACGACCCTTCGAACTTTGAAACTAAGATTGGCAACATGATTTAGCGTAATAGGGTATGCGGACGTGAAGAAGAGAAGATATGATACAGAGGGAGATTTGATAAAGGGGTTGTTGTATAAAAATAAAGATGATTTAGCGTAATAGGGTATGCGGACGTGAAGAAAAGAAGATATTTGAAGTATGATGATACAGAGGGAGATTTGATAAAGGGTTTGTTGTTTAAAAATAAAGATGATTTAGTGTAATAGGGTATGCGGACGTGAAGAAAAGAAGATATTTGAAGTATGATGATACAGAGGGAGATTTGATAAAGGGTTTGTGTTTAAAAATAAAGATGATTTAGTGTAATATGGTATGCGGACGTGAAGAAGAGAAGATATTTGAAATGAGATGAGACAGAAATGAGTTGATAAAGAAGTAATGTTGTTAAAGTTGGCATGGTGGAATCATGCTGGGAAATAAGAGATACAAATTTTGTTGAGTTTGGGGTAATTTACGTTGTGAAATATGGCTGGTGGCTGCACATTAATTACCGCATAAGGCATTCAGGAAAACTTTTGATTATGAATAAACTGAAATTAATTCGGCCTAAACAATTTTCTAGAACTTAAAGAACATCACTTAATAGCTTAATTATAACCGTAACACACATTTATATTCTCTTGCCACATCGTTTGCTACTCGTTTGATGATTTGAATTTTTATTAAACCTTGATTAATAGTTATATTTTGTAAATAATAAGTCGCTAACGTAATTAAACTATTAGTATTAGGATTTTATTTTCCTCTTAAACTTCGAGTATGTGTTATTCGCTGTCTTTGCGTGCCTTAAAACAGTTAACCTCCGTAATGTCGTCTAATCATTGATAATACCCCAGCAAGTACACAAGTAGACCCTGGAACTTATAACCCTGCTGAGAATAGTGACCAAATTGTGTCGGAAAATTACGGACAGTACTATGACAATAAAGATAACTACGACCAGAATAGGCACTACAATTACAACGACTTTACTTTTAAATATTAACTTATGGTAATTCAAATGTTTGTTTGTACGATTATATTTAATTTTGTTGGCTGTGCGCGAGAAATTCGATAATTCTTTAAATTAATGATTTTTTACTATAAGAACGGGCATACCTTATATTATTACCAATAGTTCTTTTGAAATTTTTTTTTTTAAAGAAAAAAAAGAAGGTTGTAGATTTATCATTTCTTTAATTATAGATAGTTTTACTATGACGTGGTCGTCATTAATTTTCGATCGGGGAGATGTTAGGTAGGGGTATAGTGAATTGAAGGTGAACAGGTTTGCAAATATCTCACGGCCTGTATTAGTATCTTATAAAATATTTGTACTGAGAGACGGGTAGTCGGTCAATTAATTTAAAGTCTTTATCAATTTAGAAAATATTAAGAGTCAGCGTAACAAGCTGAAAGTTGTAAGGTTTGTATGATTGAAATGTCTCACGGCGTGAAGCTGTAGTTAGTATTTTAAGCCGTTGTAAATTAGTAGTTATTTGGAATTGTGACGTTCCCGGTGGGAAAAGTAGTGGCTTGAAGATCGTTAAAGTTTCAAATTTATTAGAACTTATAGTTAAAAGAATACTTACAATTATTTTAACAGCATTGATTTTTGATTATTGTGTTGACGAACTAGCCGAGGTGTTACAAGAGTGCCATGAGAATCAACTCCCCCTTCAACTCCCCAAAGACCTGTCAACCAGCAGTCTACAAAAAGGGGAGCTCGCCTGCTGCTCGCCGCCGTCCGCCTTTAGCCTTTCTGCCTTTTCTCTTATCTCCGGCCCGGGGTCATGTCATGCTGTGCCCGTTCTCTCTCCACTCGTTACTCATTTTCATTATAGGTTTGTAGTTTTAAAGTTAAGTTTTGATCATATTGTTATCGTTGCTTCAAATCGTATCAAAATGTTGATGTTAAGATTAGTTCATACTTAGGTTAAGTTCTGTTGCAGAATGCATAATAATAATATGCGGTTAAGATATTTATACATAATAGTAATACCTCACCAGATTGTCTCGCCGCACTACTTGTTCCCGATCGATCCTTCCAGCAACTAGTCTAAGCCATGGGGATCTATTCCCGAGGTATTGTTCTTACATTAAATATTAATCAAATGTTCATAAAAATAGCACTTTTCCACTTGTTAACGTTGACGATTGTAGTATCATAATTATTTCCTGTGTACTAATTATTAGTTCTAATAGTTATTAATCTCCAGGCAATATGATGGTGATACCCACCCTACTTGCTCTGCCTGTCCTCACCTAAGCTCCACCAGTCGTATTGCTTCGTAAGTTTATTACGTCTTCATTAAGAGGTTCCTACGAAAGATTTTCCCTTATTTTAACTTAATTAGTCTGATTATTGTCACTACTTGAACGCTCCGTACTTATAATTAATATTATCTTACTCCAGATTGATTACCCCCTCCTTCCTCGAGAACCGTTCGTCATTACAAGATGGTTCAGTCCTAGTTGACATTCCACTATATGAAAAGACCAGATCGCCACGTTATATTCTTATTCCTTGGTTAGTAAATTATACTTATAGTGATTATAGTGATTCAGTTCGTAAGTTATCTAGAAGTAGGAAATTAATACCTATATTCCGTATAATTAGTGTGGTCCATTAACTTTGTATTGATATATAATCTCCTCAGAGAGAGAGAGAGAGAACCGGAACAGCGACCTCGTGAATCATCCTATTTAATCGCTTCACCCTCGCCACATTCGCTACTACTTCAATTATTGGGGTAAATGGACATTAAGACTAAGTTATGAGATATGAGAGTTAAATTAATATTGTAATCCTATTTAACCCAATTATTTTACAACCCTTATTTCCTTGTTTTAATTGGTCATCTTCCAGATACAAATTCACCTAAAATTCTGAATCCATAATTACAATAGAAATTACTGTCCTAAAATTGTATCTGTACAAAGAGAGTTTGGGTTTGACCTGTGCCCTGAGTGAGTCTCAAACCGGGAGGTATTCCATAATATCGGAACCTGAATTTCCATACTCTAGTTAAAAGGAGCCAATTATACGTAGTTAAATTAATACCACCACAATTTAATGAAATATAATAAATAAATAATCTCTAGAAGTCATGGAAAATTGGAGCATTAAATAGGCCGTTAAGTAAGTTGTCGTGCTGAAACCCGAGTACGCCTCTTAACAGGTGCACGAGAGATGGAGTCCAACCTTTGAGCGGGGTTCTGGTAGGAGTTATATATCTTTAATGGGTTTTTAATGAATGATAAGGGCCCGCATCAACGCGTTCCTAATCGAATCCTATGCTTATCTTAATTACTTTGTAACACTTTTGCTTCTTCAAAGAGTCTTTCTTAGCAATCGGAACGATTCAATTATCTTTATGGTTGCCTGTCAATCGGAATGTGCAGAAGTGTGTGTAACTAGCCACAGTCTTGCAACTTCGACTGAAACAAGGAGAAAAACAACTGGAGCTCACGTCGGATTAAAGCCTGTAAGTGTAACTGTAGGTGACACTTTATCTCAAATAGAACTAGATTAATTTCAATCACAGTTTTAGGGTCCGGTATAACCGGTTGTACTTTAGATTAGTAATTGTTATTCCCTAATTCATCTGACTCAAGTTTGAAGAACTTTTGGTAGCTAGGCTTATGCCACTGGTACTTGTATCAATTCTATCGGTCTACATGTGTACATTGTGAAGTTATGTACGTATAACTAACATTATAAGCTAGGTATTATATCCAGGTATTATAGATGCGAATCGATAAAACGGAATACGACGGAGACTTGAAGTCGTCTATTCTCGATCAGCGTGCCTTAAGGAATCTCTTAAAATACAAAGCCGAACCGCATGGAGAACGGCACTATGCACATTGCATAGTACAATTGCAAAGCGATGTATAAGACTGCTATTTCAATTTGGTAACATCCCCGATTTTGATCACAAAGAATACTACTTAACATGTGCACGTTCGAGAACTTATAATAAATGTAGTTGTCACTTTGTAGCCAGCTGGGCCCCTTCTTTTTTGAAGTCAATTTTATTCTCTAAAATG